ATCTGCCTGCCTCTCTGGATATTATGGGCCTGAAGGCAGAGTGTATCTGGGACTCAGCCCTGGGGCCCGAGTCATAAACTAAGAAAATGACACCCGGGAGCGTGCTGTGTTAGCTAGCAGGCTACGCGCTTGAGTCGGGGGCAAAATAGCCCGACGTTGGACGCCAAAATGTAACGGCGTAAGCGAATGCAGACAGATTGTCAAAATATAGACAGCTTTAATGGAGGAATAGACTTACAGAACCACTGTTCCAGCGGAGACCAGGAAAGCAGAAGCGAGCCAAATTTATAGGAAAACTTTAGCCTGAGGCGAACACGCCCCCTAAGGGGTGGGACTTATCCCTACAATATGTTTCTGAGAAAAGGGTGTTCCAAAGTTCAGCCGACTTGAAGGAGCCTCTTATAGAGAGAGGTTTCCTTTAGGAAGTAGAAATGTCAGTTCAAATATTTTAGGGAAAACAGTGATGAAGTATAAAGCCATCAGAATGACAGGATTTTGAGCTTAGAAGTAGAGTGATTAATCCATTGTTTTGGGGTCCCTGTTTCAATGGTGTGTTTGTGTGTGTTGATAGTAGGTGCTTCTTCACTTGAAATGACTTCATATCCTGATAATCTCATCATAAATTGAAAATCACTTAAGATACCTAAACCTACTAAGCATGGCTTAGCCCTCCCTTCCATAAACATTACATTAGCCTGTGCTTGAACAAATTTATCTGACATAAATCCTATTGTATAAGAAAGTAAGGAGTATCTCATGCACTTTGTCAAATTTTTTAATTAGTAAAAGCTTGCCAAAGACATGAGATGCTCTAAAGTAACAGTCCCCTCTCTGTGGCTGATGAGAACCTGTGACGGGCAGTGATGTCCAGCCCTGAGAGACTCAACAGAGAGCTGTACTGCGTCTTGTTAGCCTGAGAAAGATAAAATTCAAAGACAGTTTCTGCTAAGTGCATGTTTACTTATTGCAGAGTATCAAATGTCATAAATTGAATCATAACTGGTTAAGAATATTTATGTGTTTAAATTTCTTTCCTTTAAAACAAACTTGTTTTCCTGTGACAAGTGATGCACATGAGTTCATCTGTGGTAATAGAACACGCACAGCTGACTGACTGTTGTCATGCTATACACATTCTACTCAAGGGGCAGGTAAGATGACAGGCCTGTGGACCTGCATGTAAAGGTGGAAGGAGAGAACAGACTCCATCAAGTTGCCCTCTCACCTCCACAAGTGTGCTATGTGCACACACACAAATGAAAAATAGATAAAATAGTCCAGATGGTAAACTGTGTAAAAAATTTTTAAATTTAGGTAAATATAAAGAACTTAAGGCAAAATTCAGTGAGTTTTGACAAGTGTACACCAAGCACGGTACACAGCATTTCCACCATTCCTTGTGATCAGCCCCTGTTCTCACTTCTGCCCTCATGCGTTATTTTGGCTCCATGTTAAACTTCCTTTAGGAACATGTGCAATCTTTTAGTCTAACCTTTTTTGCTCAACGTTATAGGTTTTGAGGTTTATTCATGTTGTGTGTTAGGAGTTCATTGTTTGAAAAACGATCAACTGGATGTGATGGTTTACATCTTTAATCCCTGTACTTGAAGCAGAGGTAGATGGACCTCTCTGAGTTTAAGGTCAGCCTGGACTACATAATGAGGCCCTGTCTTTCTTAGGATCCAGGCATTATGCTGCCAGCCCCCTGTCACCTGACAGGATGTACCTAGTAGCAATTCAGACAAATACTTAGTCAGCCAGTGCCCTAGATTACCTACGCCATGCACTGCATAGCTGTTTAAGGCTCTGCAGGCATGCACAAAAGGTCCCTTTAAGAGACAAGCTCCACCCATTCCAGCTCCCCCCCCTCCAAGAGACAGGAGGTTTATTTGTGATTTTGTGATTCTCTCTCTCTCTCTCTCTCTCTCTCTCTCTCTCTCTCTCTCTCTCTCTCTCTCCCTCCCTCCCTCCCTCCCTCCCTCCCCCTTCTTTCCCATTCCCTGTCTCCCAATAAAAACCTTTGTAAGCATGGTCTGCATAGCATATCTGTCTCTCACCCGTGGAGTTCCTTGGACTCGCTCGCACTGGATCCTAACAGTCTTGATAAAAAGAAAAACAGAAAAACAACCCTTGACACAGATCAATAAATTGGAAATGATTCATTGAGTTAGAATTCATTCAACAAAAGTACAAACTTTTAAATGAACAGTTTAGTGGCACTTAATACATGGATGGGCATGTTCAGCTATCATCTTTTTTTTCCAAGATAAACCCATGTCTCTAAAACTTTGGGTTCTTCTGTGATGTTTGAGTTGTTTCTGTCATTTTAGCTTGATTCTGTGGTTGTGTGTGCATGTAATTGTATGAGTGCCTCGTTTTTGAGTTTTGGGGCTTATATCCAGGAATGTGACTGGGGAATCATAATGACAGTCTGGATTATCCTTATAAAGAACCACAGTAATAGGAGGTTCCACTTCCAGGGTTTTTCTTTTTGAGACATGACCTTCCTAGGAGCTATGAAGTGGCTTACTGGTTTGAGACAGGCTCTGTCCTCCATTTCAGGCATTTCTCCGGTTAGGGCTGTAAGTTTGAGCCACCATAACCACCTTTCTTGTGAGTCTGATTTGCATTGAGTTTGTCTTTTGGCTCTTTTGCTGTTGAATTCTTTGGCTTTTCTGGGCACGACACATGTGGATCATTTGATCAACATGTGAGTAGTGCAGATGTCTCATGGTGAGAGGTGTCATGATAGTTCTTTTAAAATTACGTTTATTTACTTTGTGTGTGTGCTTGTGCATGCCATAGCACTCATGTGAGGTCAAGGACAGTCTCTCCTTCCCCTGTGTCAATTCCTGGGGATGAAATTCATTTCTGCCCAGGGAGCCATCTTGGTGGCCCTGTTTTTGTTTATGTTGTTTTGAGACAAAGCCTTAGGTGTCCAGTCTGGCCTTGAATTTGCCATCTGAGGATGAGCTTGAACTCTATCCCAGACTCCGCCTCCTACTGTGTAGATGAAATTTGTGCCACTACTCTGGGCTGTAATTGTGTTCATTGTTTTTAGATGTTTCTGTTAGCATATTAATATACATATTAGTACATTTTAGTTTGTTTTTTTTCATACGTGCACATTCCCTCCAGAAACCCTAGCCCTTTTGTGACTACACCACTGAAGATGTCTTCCCTCCCCACCGTCAATCTCCCTGTAAATCCCCAGGGAGGGGTGGGGCCCTATGAGCATCTCCCCCTTCCGAGGATGCTGACAGGCCTAATCTTGCAGAGCTCCTGAGCCGGTGGCCACAGCCCTTAGGAGTTCAGGGATGTAGTGGCCATGTTATGATGCAGGGATCCCTGAAGCCGGTGCGTCCCACACCACCCCTCCTCTCCCTGTTAGATTATTGCCCCTTCCTTCACTCGGCAGTCCTTTGTTCTCTGAATTTTAGCAGATTATGAGTCTCTGTGCTTTGCTCTTAATTTCTGAGGACCCTCTTTTCTGAAAGGTTTAATTTTGATGAAGCCTGTTTTATTTTCATCTTACTTGTGCTTTTTATATCTTATCTGACTTCACTGCTAAATCTATGAGCATGAAATTTTACTTCTATGTTTTCTTCCTTTGGTGATAATAGCTCTCATATTTAAGTCATAATCTATTCTAAGTTAACATCGATGTTATGAGGTCGAGGTTCAGCTGTTCTGCTTAGTAGGATTTTTTTTTCTTCTCATGTTGGCACAAACTAGAATCATTTGAGATTAAGAAACCTCAACTGAGCCAGGCGATGGTGGCACACACCTTTAATCCCATCATTCAAGGAGGCAGAGGCGGACGGATCTCTGTGAGTTTAAGGCCAGCCTGGTCTACAAAGTGAGAAAGTGAGTTATAGGACAGCCAGAGAGACACAGAGAAACCCTGTCTCAAAAAAAAAAAAAAAAAAAAAAAAAAAAAAANAAAAAAAGAAAGAAAGAAAGAAAGAAAGAAAGAAAGAAAGAAAGAGAAAACGAAAGAAACCTCAATTGAGAAAATACTTCCACCAGTTTGGCTTGTGGGTGGTCCTGAGCTACATAAGACAAAAGGCTGAGCAAGCCAGTCGGCAGCACTTCTCCACGGCCTCTGCTTCAGTTCCTGCCTCCATTCCTGCCCTGACTTCTCTCAGGGGTGGACAGTGACTGGAAGTGTAAGATGAAATACGTCCATTTCCCTCCAAGTTGCTTTGAGTCGCAGTGGGAACCCGATGAAGACACCAGCCTACATTTCTGCATGTGAATTTCCAGTTTTCTCACTACCATTTGCTTAAGACTGCTCTGTTTCTTAGAATAGTCTTGGCACAGTTTTCAAAAATTAATTGACAAAAAATAATCACATATCAATATGTGGGGTTATTTCTGGTCTCTGTCTTTGATTACTGCAGATTGGGTCGGGCTTTGTGCATGCCACGCAGTCCTCCACCTCTGGCACAGCTTCAGTTCTTTCTTGGCTCTCGGTTCTGTTTCGTGTGCCCGTGTGTGATCTCTCTATCTGCTGCTATCATACTGTGATATCATAATTTGTGAAACTGGAAAGTATGATTCCTCCATGTGTTCTTTTTGATGGTTTTGATTACTTACTTGCAGTCCTTGCAATTTCATACAGATTTTAGGATTGGCTTTCCTGTTGTGTGGCTTATTTGTCTTTATTGCTAAGTACTGCTGCATTACAGGAGTGTACACTGCTGGTCTATCCAGACTCCTGAGTGTCTCCTAATAAAGGAGTCGGCAGCTCCTAGTCTCAAATCTCCTTTCTTTTCTCATTAATTTGAATATTGGGACTTTTGTTTTTGTAAAATTCTACCTTGAATGAATTTATTCTTTAATTAAAATTATCTGTTGCTGAGGAACCAGTGGCTCTTTTATACTTCAGCTTTAGAATGTAATGTATTTTCATGGTATAGTATTTTGTGTTCATGATTTATCAAGAAAGATCAAACTTTGAAACGATTTTACAAATAAGTTCCCCTTTTTCTTCACAGGTACCTTTTTTATCTCCTTTGGAAGGTCATATCTGCTTAAAAATCAGCTGTCAAGTGAATTCAAGTGTTGAGGAGAAAGGTTTCCTAGTGAGTAACATTTCTGTTCTTCATTATCATCTTTTGCCTTCCTGAAGGAAGAAAGCCTATATGATCACATGATAAATTGGTTTTGTAAGGATTCGTTGCATTTTCCTCTAAGCCACTGACTGTGCTGGTGTTAGGATATAATTAGACACAGAAAAGAATCTCTTTAAATTGGCTTTAAAATTTTTAATTATATTTATTTATTTGGGAGGTGCACATGTATGCCACAGTGTATTTATGGAGTTCAGAGGATAAGTTGCAGAAATTGGTTCTCAAGATCAAACTAAAGTCATAAGACTGGCAGTAAGTGCCGTTATCCACTAAGCCATCTTGCTAGTCCAGGAGGAGCTTTAATTTAGTATGGAGGAAGGAAGTGAACCTACAAGTGCATTACATCATAAGAGAAAGCAGAGGGCGCACTGCTGGGAACTGAGAGAGCATAAGCTGCTTAGTCAGCAGAAGCAGGGAGAGATGCTGCGGGCAAGTGGGACAGTGTCCTGGGTGTCCCTTCCCCCGTCACCCCAACCAAAGGGAAGGAGGAGAGAGTGCTGAATATTTCCGGATAGTAAGGGCTTAGCCTGGGGACAGAGGTTAGAGAAATGGACCAAGTATTTTAAAGAAATTGAACTTCATTCTGAAGCCAATTGAGTGACTATTACAGAGTTTTAAGAGATGAAAATAGCCACATTTTGAGTTTAGGATAATCACAGTGAGTGGTGTGTAGAAGGTGGTTTAGAGAACAGCAATCTGAAAGATGGGCTAGCTCACTAGGTCTCAGCCACTCTACATGAGAGATGAGAGAAGACAAGCGTGGGTCATAGTGACTTGTCTGCAGGAAGTGAGACGGGAAAAGGCAGGAGAGTGCTCAGACTGATCCCTGCCTTGCACAAGATGGGTAGCAGGATGCTGCTGAGGAAGGACACTGGGGAGTAAATCTACTTCTCTTAGTGACACTTAAAGTAGAAGTGGCGGGCTTCTTGAGATATTGGTCTCATTTTACAAAGAATATACATTGGTCATCTCAATTTTGCCATTGCATTTGTTTTGTTGCTTTTTTTTTTAACAGTCTGTTTTATATAGCACTGGTCATTCTAGAACTTGCTATGTAGACCAGGCTGGCCTTGAACTCAGAGATTCACCTGCCTCCCTGCTAGAATTAAAAGCTTGTGCCACCACACCCAGCTCCACTCTTTTTTTTTTTTTTTTTTTTTTTT